AGAGAGACCAAAGCAAACGGAACAGACAGAGCTGTCAGTGGAAAAGGTGAGATCTAATGTACTGAAGCAAGTTCTCCCGAGCCCTCGGCTTCCTTTGATTGACAGCTAGGGGGAAAAAAGCAAACCACCAGCAGATATGCCTCTAAATCAAAATTGTCCGCTTGAGCAGAAATGATGTTGGTTTTGATCACGAGGCGAATCTGTCAGTGTCTGTTTTCTGCTCTTGCTATTTTCGATGGTGGAGTTCAACTCTGTCTTCCTGACATCCCATTACTGGAAAAGCCTGCTCCAGCTGCACAATAACCCTGCGGGATGCAGACGGAGGTTTTACAGGGTGCATGCTGGGCTGGAAAGCTTCGGGTAGAGCTGAATGTTCATTAAGAGAGGGCTAGATCTCAGCTACTTTGCTTTGCCTTGGGTGTGTAACATGCAGAGTAATCCCTTGCACCTTAAACTTAAAAACACTCTCTAAATGTAAAAAAAAAAAAGGGGGGGGTGATCTTCCTCCCTTACAAGAGGGATTTTTAAGCTTGGTTGCTCCTCTATAAATAAAGGAATTCAATTTCCATATCGGATCCCACATTCCGTCTGAAGCGGTACGCCTCTCAGTGCTGCCGGAGCACCTGGCTGACTTTATCAAGCCACGGAAGCTCGTTAGAATCCGACAGACTGTCAGGTGCGAAGGATGGGGAGGGGCCGTACGTTAAGTTGCAGCACAGAAGATTTATTATTCAGGCTTGTACACAACATTCTAGTCAACGGATGGTCAGCACTAAACTGGCGCTAGATAAAGGTCAACAGAATTTGAGGGGAGCTGACTTGAAGCATTTGTGACAACATAAGGACTCTAAGCTGATGACATGTTTAACTCTGCCCCCCACAGCTCTGCCTGCTCCTCTCCTTCATAGACATAGGAATCCCCCTCAAAGGTCTTTAGCAACCTTCCATTTTGGGCTGGGTTTCTCTACAACTGGTCTCAGTCTTGAGAAAACTAAATTTAGTTTATTTATTTAAAAGGTTTATATAGCTGCCCTTCTTCCAACCAACCCCGGGGAGCTCCCGATCAGATTGTCCTATAAAATCATATTAAAACTATAAAACTAAGCCCATTAAAACACTAAAAAAAATCTGGTGTCAAATCAAAGCTCTGATGTGTGACTATCTAGTCTCCTCTCAAAACTTGGAGAAAATGTCAGGTCTTCAAAGCTTTATGGAAGGCTAGGAGGGTTGAGGGTTGAATGCGCCAGGCTAGAGACTGGGAGTTCTAGTTCCACCTGAGACATGAAGCCAATTGGATGACTTTGGCCTGGTCCCTGTCCCTCAGCCTGGAGAAGAAGGTGGTGTCATGCCTCCGTCCGAGCCTGACTCTGAGGATGACATGGAGTTCCCTGTTGAGGGCCAGGAGGGGGTGTCTGTGGCTTCGGAGGACTGTGGGGAAGAGCAGGCTGAAGCAGGCCAGGGCCCTTCAAGTTTGGAACAGAGAAGGCAGAGCTCAGGCGAGGAGCAAGGCCCCTCCCCACCAGATCCCAGAACAAGGAGAGCAGAGAGGAGGAAGGAACAACGGAGGCAGGCTCACTTGCTTGGGAGGAGAGCGTCCCGCCCCACTTCACAAGGCACACCTGGGGAGTAGGTATTTAAGGAGACGCTGTAGGGTGGGGCATTTGCCGGGAACAAACGTGAACTCTTGTGATGTGAGCTCTTGTACCTGGACTCTTTGTATTTTGGATCAAGTTTGTTTCCTGCTGAGTTCTCCTTGCTGTCCTCAGTTTTGCAGTTTGCAGGTTACAGGCAAGCTGGGCGTGGAAAAGATCATACTTTGTTATCTGTTTTACTTTAAAGAACTGTTTAACTCCGTTGACTGTTTGATTGAACTTGTGCCAGCATATGTGGGGGCTGTTGGGTGAATGTTGGCAGTGCTTACAAAGACAATTATTCTGACCAGCTAAGTGCTTTGCCTCCGTTCGGGGCCCTGGGTCATCACAGATGGCAAGAGCCAACCGTTTCCCACATCTTGCCAAGAAAAATGCCAGGAATAACAAATTAAACCAAAACGTCACAATAGAGAACCAGTTTTGATAGAGGCTAAGGCACCAGGCTAGAAACCAAGAGACAAGAAAGTTGGTGATCCTGGGTACCTAGTTAGGGAGGAATTAGGGAATCTAGTTAGGGCGACTGGGAGTTCTAAATCCCACCGTAGACATGAAGACAGCTGGGGGACCTTGGGCCGGGCACTCTCTCTATCAGTCCTCAGAAGCAGACAATGGCAAATCATTTTTGAAAAACCTTGTCAAGAAAACTGCAGAGCTTAGTCCAAGCATTCGCCCCAAGTTGACTTGACTCAAAGGCACCCTCCCCCCAAAAATGAGGAAGACCACAACTACAGTGTCCGTTGCATTCTTCAACTGAAGCCATGATTTGCATTTTAGAATTTCCAATGAGTTTCCCTCGTCACCTTTGGCGGAGCTGACGGATGACATGCACGGAGACATTCGGTAAGACGATAGGGCACAGACACAAAGCACGAAGGATAATTTTTGTTGAAATGCGAGGGGCCGAAAATGACTTACACATCTTTGCTTCACAGTTTGTGGAGCACAATTTCACTTAAAGCCTAAATCCATCATTGTGGAGGGGGATTTTTTTTTTCATCAGAATGCATCCAATATCCAGCCATAAATATGAAGAAGAGTGTTGAGTCAAAGGGAGGCATGCAAGTAAACAGAACAAAAACAAAATTCACAATTGCAAAGAGGCTGCCAGCGACACTCAAGATATTGGGGGGGGGGGGAGAGAAAAGAAGATTGAGCTCCCCACTCCTGCCATATAAGGAGCATAAAAATACTTCAACAGAACAACAACAACATCATCAAAAAAACATCCATAGGAGAAGCATTTTACTCATTGCAAAACTAATATGCTGGTTAGCCTGTCAAAACTCATATTCATTTCAAGGTTGGGTGATTACGAAAAAGGCAAACAAACGGAATCATATTTAACTGAGATGCAAAATAAAGAATGATTTTTTTTCTTCAAATACAATGCCTCAGTGGGAACAAATATTGATTGTTGTTGTGCTTAAAACTCCAGTAGAACTTATAAAAACCATCTCTTGTGGTCTTTTTCACCCAAGAGGCAGAAAGGAGAAAAAAGGGAATTACTTATTGCTTGGTTTGAAATTATTCCAGCAACGCAGCCCTACTATGCCTGTAGTTAAACCTCACATCTAAGTCAACAGCAAGAGATAGTTAAACTTAATTTACAATATCTGATTCCAAGGATGATGCATAATATATAGAGAACACTTCACAAGGTCGTTACGTCCTAGATCGAGCAGCTGGATTCACCGAGATGGGAACATAGTTTAATTTGAATAACCACAGCTTATTTTTTTGTGGTTTAATGCAAGGGTCTCCAAACCTGGCAAATTTAAGACTTGTGGACTTCAACTCCCAGAATTCCTCAGTCAGCCATCTAGTCAACTAACAGTCAGCGTTAAACTGGCTGGCTGAGGAATTCTGGGAGTTGAAGTCCACAAGTCTTAAAGTTGCCAGGTTTGAAGTGCCCTGTTTTTAGTGTGTTGTGTAATCACAATACAAACAGCACTAAAAAAAAAATCACGGCACAATATAAACAAGATTGTGTCAAATGTTCCAATCGTTATTTAACAGTGCCATTATCATGTATCACTGTTGAACTTTACACAATGGCCATTAAACAATGTCAAGACCAGGGGTAGGCAACCTTGGTTCTTTTATGACTTGTGGATTTCAACTCCCAGAATTCCTGAGCCAGCCACGCTGAGGGGAAAGGGAGAGGTTTCCAAGCTGAGCCATGCTGGCTCAGGAATTCTGGGAGTTGAAGTCCACGAGTCATAAAAGAGCCAAGGTTGCCTACCCGTGGTCAAGACCATTCTTCCTTAGCACACAACGAAGATTCATTCATCCCATTTCTAATACCACCCATCTCCTCCAGGTGATGCTGGGTTGTTTACCATCAAAAGGACATCATAATACCAAAGGTGAATACGAACAAAGTTGAAAACAGAATGTAAAAGGTTAGGGTTCAAAATTAGACGTTAGAAAGGTGGAGAGGACATCTTCAGGATGGCAGGCATCCCTGAGGTTGCATATGACTCTTTCACACACACTCTTTCACACACAAACGCATGCAGGGACGCACACACCAATTGGCAGAGCCAAGTCCAAACACTCTTTCTGAAGGCCAGAAGATGGGACCCGCCTTACCTCTAAGGGTTAGGTGTTCCAAAGGGTGGGATGATGGCAGAGTGGGTTCTCTTCCTGGATCCTGCCATGAAAATTCTTTAATTGGTGGGATCTGCGACATGCCTTCCCTGACTGACAAGGTGGGATGGGACGATGTCTGGTTGAGTTCCCGTCTCTCATAGGGTAGGAACCCTCCATATTCATTCCTTTAAGGTTCACATAGGACAAGGCTGAACATGGGTGGAACTGATGCTCCTGTAGATACCTGGGAGCTGAGCCAAGTAGATAAACATCTATTCTTTGAACTGAATGCAGAAATGGCTAAATGCTAGGGGCAAACAAGTCCCTCTATTTTGAACTGTTTGAAACTCCTAAGCAGTGGTGGGATTCAAATACGTGAACAACCAGTTCTCTGTGTGGATGTGGCTTCCAGAAGTCTGTTCTAGGCCTGGGCAACAAAAAATTAGCTACCTGTTCTGCTGAACTGGTGCAAACTTGCTGAATCCCACCACTGCTCCTAAGTCATCTTCAAAAACAGCCCTACAGAGAATTCATTGCTGTAGTCTAACCACAGCAAGACAAAGCCCAGTTTGAGAAGCCACACAAATTGTGCTTCCTTCAGTGAACCATAAGCAAACAACACCCATTCTCCCAAGTGGGGCTTTGTAGAGGCTTTACCAGCCGCTGAATTTATCTAGCTTCAAGAAGCAAGCAAATACATCAGGATTAAGTTGAAAAACCCAACAAAACATCATAAATGCAGACAGGAAGACTCACCAGATGTTCTAAGAAAATTTGTCAACTTTGAGTTAAACAACAAAATCTTCACACAAGGGGGGTGATTTCAGCAGCCACAATCAAGCCGTGCTTGGTCTCCAAATCTCAGTGGCCTCTGGCCCCATCCAAATACAGCTGGTCCTCGTCAGGTGACACTGAAATATAATAAATGGAATGTTCGTTAGTTAATCATACCTGACTTTGCTTCCTTGGAGAGTTTGCTATCACATTAAACAATGATTTGTAAGGTACGACACAACAGTAAACCACTGTCATTTTCAGGCAAGGGCAAACAGTGGTCAGTGAACAGCAGATGGGTTATGTGGTTGGCATTTCATTGAGATACTACGTGAAAGTTGTTTAATTGTAGAACCAGTGGTGCAATTCAGCCAGTTTGTACCAGTTCGGCAGAACCGGTAGCTAATTTTTTGTTGCCCAGGCCCAGAATGGACTTCTGGAAGCGGCATCCATGCAGAGAACTGGTTGTTGACATATCTGAATCTCACCACTCCTTCCTTCCTTCCTTCCTTCCTTCCTTCCTTCCTTCCTTCCTTCCTTCCTTCCTTCCTTCCTTCCTTCCTTCCTTCCTTCTTTCCTTCCTTCCTATGGTGCGATTCAGCCAGTTTGTACCAGTTCGGTAGAACTGGTAGCTAATTTTTTGTTGCCCAGGCCCAGAATGGACTTCCGGAAGTGGCATCCATGCAGAGAACCAGTTATTCACATATTTGAATCCCACCACTGTGTAGAACTAAAATTGTAGTAATGTATTAATCAGTATTCAACTACAGGTAGTCCTTGACTTACCACCACAACTGAGCCCCAACATTTCTCTCGCTAAGTAAAATATTTGTGAAGTGAGTTTTGCCTATTTTACGACTTTTCTTGCCAAAGTTGTTAAGTGAACCACTGCTGTTGTTACGTGAGTAACACGGTTGTTAGGTGAATCTGGCTTCCCCTCATTGACTTTGCTTGTCAAAAGGTCGCAAAAGGGGATGACATGACCCCGGGACACTGCAAACCGTCATAAGTACATGCCAGTTGCCGAGCCTCCGAATTTTGATCACGTGACCAGGGGGAGGCTGCAACGGTCATAAGTGCGAAAACTGGTCATAAGTCACTTTTTTCCAGTGCCATTGTAATTCCAGTCACTAAACAAATGATTGTAAGTCAGGGGTGTCACACTGCCGGCCTGTGGGCCGGATGCGTCATGCCGAAACCGCACCCACTCCAGCTCTGGCAATAGGGGAAAAGTCGTGATACGTCGCGACACATCACGTGATGTTGCGCGTTTGACACCCCTGTTGTAAGTCAAGGATTACCTGTATTATATTGGCCATACTTTTTTTAAAAAAAAAAATCTGGAAAGAGATTTTAAGCTCTCAGCTTTAGCCCTGGTTCCGTGTTCGTTCTCCTGCGTGCCTCCTCCTCTTTCTCCTCTGCAGTCATAATAATAAACTTATTAATCAACTTGATCCAGGCCAATTAATTTGGAAACTATTCTCCCTGCAGGGTAACTTTTGCCCTGGGGCAACACAACTGGCTTCAGAAGGGGACTGTCACACTCCAAAAAAGAGCTGTCCATCATTGCAGAAAAGTCAGCTTCTAAGAGGCGGATGTAAAACCCAAAAGCCGGTTCTTCAAAACACTGGAATGGGGAAACAACATGCATTGGAGCTATTTCCAAGGCCGAGCTCTGAATTATTCAGGAGTTCTCCTCCTTGCTACCCCCCACCTCCCCACCTCACCCCCATTTTAATTCACCTGCCTTTCAGTTCCTCATCAAAACCAACAGCAGTTTGCACAGTTTTTAAATTGTCTTGATAACCCTCCGGGAAATGTACCAGCCGCGTGGCAGCAGAATACAAATAGGAAATGGGTTTGCATAAAGCAGCTTCCATAGATCATCCTGACACCTGTTTTGGGGCTTTGGGAAGGATGAGTTGTGGGGCAAGGGAGGTGGGTCAAGGGCTAGGAAAACAAAGTGGCTACCCCATCCAATGGTCAAAGGGGACATTTGCTCCTCTTGGCCATCAAGACTCCGTTGGGTTCTCCATGAATACAGAAGAGATGGATTCTGTCAAAGGAGTCTTCTCCAGATTCGAGACATTCTTGGTTGGCATCATATGAATGGCCTGCCAATCTCAGGATTATGTGCTCTGCGGGCCAAAAGAGAAGCTTGCCCACCCCTTGAGTAAAAAGATGGGGTCGGGGGTTGCTTATACAGGGGCCAGAAGAGATGGGAAGTCTTCACTCAAGAAGGATGAAAGATTGCACAGCTTTTCTTCCCAACAATATGGACAAGGTTACCATGGTCTTCTTTCACAATGCTATTTGGGCTTCCCAGCCTGACCTAGTTTAGCCTCTGCTAAAATGTTCTCCCCGCTGCAAGTTCAGGAATAGTCTCTTTCAGAACCACGTTTTGGACTGCATTTGAATCCGAGACACTTTTGTTCCCACCATCCTTTTCTGACAGTCATATAGGAAAGGACACTGGTGTAAATTTCCGCCTTAGAGAAGGACCTACTAAGGACCTTTTAGTTTTGCAGGGAAAGGTTGAGGACCACAAGCTGGAGGCACAAAATCATTTAGACAGAGAGAGGGGAAAAACATGGAGAAGTGCACTGATGGTGTTGCTTAGTTGAGTCATGAAACGTCCGCAAGAAAACCACCAAGCTCAGAGAGCACCAAGGACCCCACAGTTCAACCTACAAATGTTCTCTTCTATCCAGGGAGAGAAAGTTTAGCTGAGCACCATTCCTCCTCAGAAACCTCTACTCTACCGTGCTATGTCCATCTTCTTCTCTATGGTAACGTTGTCTTCTTCAAGTTGACCTTTCTCTCCTGCTGAGTGTGTCTTCTTCACAGCAATATGGACAGGGTTTACCACGTTGTTTGGACTTTCCAGCCTGACCTATGGGCCTGGGGTTCCCAGACAAGTCTCCCTTTCAAGTACTAACCAGACTTGACCCTGCTTAGCTTCTAAGCCTAAACAAAGTCTGTGAAGTGCTCCCACCTGCTGGGACATTAGTCAGCAAAGGATAACGTTTAGAGATTGCCACTTTCTGGCTGGTTCCAACGGATAAAAGCAGGCGGACTTAATAAGCAAGGTCAAACACACCTGAAATTCCGATGAGGAGAAGCAAAGTGTGAGCTGCAGGGCCCGGAGAGACTTTTAAAATGTCAAGGTGTAAGGAAGATAAATGAAAGCTCTCAAAATGGAAGGCAAAACACATCAGCAGTTGTCTACAAGTCAATACTTGCTCATGAATAATATATTCATTTTTGTTAGGGTAGGCCTTTTTGCAATCAGGGCTGTTTTCAATCAACATGTGCATAAAGAATGGATCTAACCAGCAGCTTTTGCAGGCAGAACGTGGTGCTGATGAGAGAGAGAGAGAGAGAGAGAGAGAGAGAGAGAGAGAATGAGAATCTCTGCATATCTAAGATTGTAGATTTATCCCTTACGCATGTGCACAAAAATGCGGTAGAGCTTGGTTCACAACACTATCCCTAACGTCTTGCAGATTTTGACACAACTGAAAGCCACCAATAGCCAAACAGCTATTTTTTGCCCTATGTTGTAATTGAATTTACCCTTATTCAGGACTCACGCAACAGAGTGGACAAATTTAGAAGGCTGAGCTTTTGCTAAACCACAAACAAATGAATCATGTTAGACTAAGCAATTGGAGGCATTTCATCTTTAAACTGACACGGTGAAGTGTTTTGTGCAGTGGTGGGATTCAGCCAGTTCGCACCACTTTGGCAGAACCCTTCCAACTGTATATTATTATTATTGTTGTTGTTATTCTACCCACTCACTTCCACCCTCATACTGGCTGGGGAATTCTGGGAGTCAAAGTCCATAAGTCTTAAAAGTTGCCAAGTTTGGAGACCCCATCAACTTAATAGAGTCTGATCCAGATTTTCAAGATGTTTCCACAATTCTGGAAAAAGTTTTACAAGCTGATGTTAGACCATCAAAGGAAAGTCAACTGACTTTGTCCAACCAGTCCATGGGAGAATCAGGTAGCCAGCTCCATCTGAATGAACAAACCAATCATAAAACTTTCCAGCACATACCCAACTTTTCACGTAGAGAATATAAATTACTTCCTTTAATTGCCTTATGCGGATGTATCACTGAACTGTTTTGACTTGCCCAGAACTAATCATCTGTCAAAAAGATATTTTGCAGCCAAGCAGATAGCTTAATTGGATATTTAATTTAACTGTGAAGCTTTGTTCTTTCCTATTTCACATTTTGTTCCTTAATTTTTTAAGGTTTTCCCCCCCCCTCTTTCCTTAGCCCATCATTTCACTCTTTGCTTTTCTACAAATGATTCAGGACTTGGATGAACGATGCTTGCATTTCTAACTTCCGCTCTGTTCATTTCGGAGCCCATAATTTTCTCCTGCCTTTCTCCAATATACGAGACACAAATGAGAAATATCAAGTTAATTAGATTCGTATTCATTAATCATACTCTCAAATGAACCTTTAGGTGATATGATGGGCCTGTTAAAATAATGTTGGAAGGGCGAGTCTCTTGAGGCCAATCGCTCAGCTGAACGTGCAAGGTGACAAACAATATTTTAGCAAACACCTTGTAAAACAAAAGATATAAACAAGGCACTTTAAAAAAAACTACTAATAAAATTGTTAACATTTAAAAGCCCTGCTAAATCTCATAGCTATTCTTGTAAAAAATAATAATAACATATTGTCAATAAAAAGGCTATAGTGATGAAAAACAGCCAACAGGAAAACAGCAGATTGAAACAATCAAAGGATCCATCAAGCCGTCGATAAAAAACAAGAAGTGCCCAAAACTTCGCAACTTAATGTGAAATGAGGATCCACAGTCAGAAGAAGCTTAAAAGTTTTAAAGCCGTAAAAAAAAATCTGTGCAGAAAATACCCTGGATGGGGTATCATAGTTTAATATCTTGATGTAGGCGTTCCTGGACTGGATCTGTTGGGCTCTGTTGGGTTTCTAGGTTTAGTGACTATGGTTTAATGACAACAGATTTCTTTACATTTCACTGGCAACTGTGGTTGATTATCTTCAGAGGCAAGATCACAGACTGCAGACAATTGAGCAAGGATTGACCGACTACCTGCTTTTATAGCCATGGTCAATAAGCCCTAAAGC